TAAACTTTTCTCTTAATTTTTTTTTTCCTTTTGTCTTGTTCATTAGAGTCTTTGATGGATTCCTTGTGTTTCTTTTGTTCATTTGCATGTTAATTATAGCTATTTGAATTTTCCTTCTACCATGCATGTGTTGAATCATAGTATATTGTGTAGATTCATATAGACTTGGTTCGTGTCTTATCCAGGGCCTGCCCTAGGCCAAAGCTAGGCAAGCTAATGCTTGTGATCCTTATTTTATTAAATAAAAATTGGCTCTTGCATCCTAAAAAGTCTCCATGGTCTAGTAAAAACTAAGCATGTTACATGTGTGGTCATGGTTTTGAAACAGCTCCAACGCATTTTCTTATATATTTTTTAAAACTTTGTTTTTTTTAACATTAAAAATGATCCAATTTTTTTAGCTTGTGGCCTTGTACAAGTCAGAACCGGCTGGTCCTATCAAAGGGATAATTCTGCAACATTTTGTGGCGACATTCGATCCCATCAAACTTGTCAACTCTTGATTATCGTGGGATCATGTATTTCATCTTATATCACTGGTTCGTTGGCTTAAATTGGCTTGTCCTACTTAGGTCTTCACTGAAATGACCAATTGAGAGGCTTGTAAAAAAATGCCAATTTGATAAGGTCATCAGACCAGTAGCTAAACTGGAGCTCCATCAAACGTGCCACTCAAACTGCATGAGATCCGACAAGGACATATGTGCTTTTCATAGAGCATACCGAGCTGACCAGAAGGAGTTAAGCAACAAACCAACTTATTCCAGAAATGTAACTCTTCAGAGACCCACATCATATTGGAGTTGGGTCAAAAGGAGTTCAGACCAAACCAGAATGGAATTTACTAATAGGTTAATTCCATACTACCTTGTTAATGAAGACGATGCAGATATATGTCTATTGTTTAAAGCCTTCCAGCTCAACCACTGTAACGCCCACGATCACTTACGAACCAGAAACGCTACAGATGTGCGCTTAGTCACTCGTTCCGAAGTTCCAAAAACGCATCTAGGAACCCAAGACTAAATGGCTAGACGCACATTTCCTACCGAACATGGCACTAGGCTTTTCAACCCGAGTCATGGCCGTTAGTTAGTTTGCCCCGGACTAGGACTAGTATCATATGCAACCCAAGGTTTTAACAAATATCCATTTCTATACATTATTATACTATGTTTTTACAATAAGTTACCAAAACACATACATGCCGGCTTGGAGCCAAGTGCTCAAAATAACATTACATATTAAACATACTTGTTTTACAAAAAGCATATAATCTACACCAACCTTCCTAAGGTCCTTTCCAGCGGTCT